TAGGGCTTAGGGTCCAAGTACCCAAGAATTGGGTACTGTGGATTTGGGTAGTAACAATTTGTCGTACGAGTTTCTGTTGGGTACTTGGACCCTTAGGGTTGCTATAATCTGTGAAGGTGTGTAATGTGTAAGAGATCCGTTGTGTGGATCTTCTAGCAAGTCTGGAGAGCTGGAAGCTGTTCATAATCAAGTTGTTGATGACCCCAACAACAGGCTAGGACCCTCCTAATAGATGTCAGTTGGCTACTGCCCCCACCGTGTAACATTCCATATTCGGGGTCATATTAAGGGCTATGTAGAACTATATTATAAATACGTTACAACTGATACAGAATGGGCAGTACCCAAGATGTCAGTCAGGATGCGTCAAAGACTAAGTGATGATTGGACAAATCTAGATCCTAGAAAGCTCGATTTTGAATGCTAGATTGCACACAAAGACTTGGCACTGTCGATGTATTTCAGGGATGCTTCAACTTGCAGGACATCACACATGAATCGCTGAACAGGTGGATGTCAAGTTCCGTCATCCTACAGATGGCATTTTGACCATTGCACATATGCTGTGAAGAATTGTAGGCTCGAGTGACGGCTGAACGTGCTGGGCGCCGGCAGAACGCATACGGAGGGAATAAGGGGAATATAATCCTTATAGAATCCCTGCAATATTTGATATATTCCTCTATTCCCTACTAAACCCCCACTAAGGTAAGCAGCACAGAATAAGCAAGCTCATTGCCAAAGTACCTGAAATCTACAGGGCTTACATACTGCGGGTTAGGAGATATGTACATATGTATATATAGAGATTTTATAAGGATCGATTATATCACCTCATTCCTTACTGAGCCCCCATAAGTTTCTTCAGCCTAAACCCTCGCCGGAAATCTTACACCCTATGAAATATCAAACCCGATCTTCCAACCCCGTGAGGCAGCCGGCTCCGCTCTCATTTGGATCTTGGTGAGGCCCTCCTCAAAATTCCTCGCCCAATCCTGTTCAAGCTTTAAAGAATCTAGGATTTGCCGGCTCCCTGCAGCTTAGCAGACTGTTCACAACAATACCGATTGGAGGTGTTGTTTCGATCGGGCGTTCTTCCATGCGCAGCAAAATATCTTCGCACGTGCAAGAGGCAGCAGCAGCAGCAGCAGCAGCAGCAGCAGCAGCAGCAGATGAGCCCGTTGAACCACTGCACCACAGGCCCATGATTTCGCCAGAAAAGGAGGAAATCTTGGCATATCTCAGGGCAGGGAGCAGGTCAATATTCATTATAAGATCAGACGCCAGAGACTGAAAATGCCACATTTTGTGAAATACACACCAAACCTCCTCGCGAACTGCTCGGCGCAGCTCTTCCATTGCAGACACCTCCTGCAATTGGCTTCCCGAACCAACATGCAAACACATGCCAAGGCATGCTTCAGATGGAGACTGTGCACCCGATACACTCAGCCAACAACTACTGATGCGCTTCCTACGAGGAAAGACGTGAAATTCATGGCGTTAAGGAAACATTGAGGTGACAGGTACTCTTTCGCGTAACCGCAAACTCATTGATAATATTAGTGGGAAATCTTCTTGCTACTGCTGTTGTCCAAGGTACTTCTTGACAAGCGGCATGAAAAGTATGTATACTACTCCGACCATTGCGAACATTGTTGCTGTTGATAAAGGACGTCTTGCACCACCTGGGAGCTCTGGATTACTGTACATCAACAGCATGAACTTCGCAATCCTAAACCCTTAACCCTATTACAAAGTGAGCCGGATCCCCGTGATTGCTCTAATCCAGACGGAGC